TCCTGACTGAATCCAGCACAGCGAGTTACTCAAAAGGCTGAATACTGCAACTTTTTCCCGTTGGATTAAAAAACTGGTTGTACTGAATTGGGAAAGACAACAAATAGGAGAATTACACGGTCATGGAAGAGGTTGTAACTTCCGTGTACAACACCACTTTAACGCCGACTCTGAAGGACCTCCCGCCCTGCACGGAGCGCCGCGCACCCTCCCAGGCTCGGGCGGCTGCAGCCCCTCCCCGGGGACACCAGCACCCACCGTTTCTCACCGAGATTTTGGAAAATCCCGGTGTAAACTCTGTGCCGGCATGCCGCTCGCTCCGCTGACAGCACACGCCTAGCAGCCACCCGTCTTGTAAGACGCCGTCCCTGTTATCAGCGCTCAGCCCGGGCCCCGGCAGCTGAGGGCCTCGCCGTCCGCAGACATCGGGGCCATGCGAGGACGAGCCTCCCCGCGACACCGGAACCCGGCCTGCGTCCCGTTGAGAGACTCAGCCGGGCTCGCAGACCGGCTCTCCCCTTCCCAGGGCCCGGCCTCCCACTCCTCGCGCTGCCGGCCAGACCCAACCCGGCCCGGCCACACACGCACCCAACACCGCAGCAAGGGCGCTGAGCTACCGGCGCTGCCATCCCGACGGCCCGGAAACGGGGCCGGAACAGCCCAACTATGTGCGGGGGGGAACGGAAGAAAAGGACGCTCCCCAACAGCATTTGTCTCCATCAGGATGGAGAAAACAGGCTTCAGCGGAGATGTTGAGTGGTTCAGAGTTTTTAAGCAAGTGAGAGCTTGATTACATTTGCATTCCTAGAAACTGGCTACAAATAACTCCTGCGTCATCACCCCCATCCCGAAGATGGTACCGCCCCAATTTAACGCGGAGTCCTGCAATTCTCGCGAGAAGCCGGTGAGTTGGTCGTTATGGCAACGGTGGCGGTTGTGCTGCTTCCCCCGGCCCGGCGCTGCCGCCCTCCCGCGGTAAGGACGGGGCGGCCTCGGGGTGCCGGTCCCTGCGGGGGTGCCGGGCTGAGGCCAGGGATGTCGTGGCTGAGGCCTGGAGGTGGCTACGGCTGGCCAAAGGTTCCGGGGTGGGTGATTCCCGACGGGGAGGCGGTGGTGCGGAGCCAGTGTCAGAGCCCGGTCCCCCCGGTCTTTTTATAGATTAAAAGCTTGTTTATATCTGAAATATTACCGGGCTTCTGTTGCTTTATTATGAAACTGATAGTTTGGAGGGTTGTTTTTTATTCCAGTTCTAGGTCACAGTGGATATTACAAGGGTGAGCTTGGATAGAATTTCAAGGCCTGCATCCAGCTCAAGAGCTTATTGTAGATCTTTGAATGCATCTTTGGAGTTATCAGCACCAGAGCCACGTTTTCCAAAGGTAATTCATTTCACCTTCAGTGGATTAGAAACTCTGCCTAGTTCTTCTTAGTAGAATGCTAAAGAAATAAGATTCTGCTCTTTTAGCTACAGTAGAGAGTTCTGGGCTCTGTAGGTATGCTAAGGGGCTGTGCGGGAGTTCATGAATGTGAGCTGCTCCTTATGCATGCATGGAATGATGTCTGATTTAATTTTCCTGAATGTGTACTACTTTTATATTGGCAAGAAAAAGACCTGTTCAGCACTACAACCTGGAAAACTTGTTTGTTTTCCTCTTTATATTTAACCAGATTATTAAAAAACTCAATTTTAAGGAAAAACATTTGAAATTCTGGCAATGGTCTTTAGATACACAGCTATAGGCTGTTGATGCATAAGCCAGTATGTGTGAATTGTTGATGCATAAGCCAGTATGTGCATAATTTCACTTTCATCCCATTTGTGCTTTTAAATTTAAGTTGGAATATAAAACTATTTTGCTTATTAAAAGCAAACATTTGAGCATTCCGCACAAGTTGAATTTTTGACCACACAATTCTCTCAGGATACGTTTGAATCAAGGTTTAAGAAAGAAGTCATAGTATTCCACGAAATATGTCAGCTCCAGGGATTCAGCAAAATCTGTCAGAAGTAGGTGTTCATCCATCCTCTGAGAAAATTAGTATCGGAGATTAACTTAATTTTGGGAGTGGGTTATGTGATAAAGTTGTTGGGATGTAGGAACTGGGATCTGAGAATTAGAGATTTAGATTGATTTACTTAGATTAGTCCAGTTGTATTGTACCTCTGTTCACCGGTCTGTAGAATGGCATCATACCACAGTGCTTCACAGAAGTATTAAAATACTTTTATATACATTCACAGTCATCTGTTAAGGTTAACATCAGATAACTCTGAATCCAAGTTTTGACCGAAACATCATAGGCTGTTGCATGAAAATTGCAATGTCTTGAGACTGATGAATTAAACATAAGCTTTTCAGCCCTTCAGAGGCTATAAAACTATAGTATGAGCAAGAGATTGGGATGCAGAGCACCCACAGTGTCAGGAGATGGATGAGGCTGTTGTACACACAGACTCTTAACTGGTTGGCTGTACCCTCTGCTGTAGCAGAAATGGCATAAACCCTTGGAGTCTTTTCCTAGCCTGGCAATCCCAAATCTGGAAGTGTGTGGAATGATGATCTTGAGAATCAATGTGATAACTAAGAAACAGAACTCTGTATCAGATCTGAAAATGGTTCTTTTATTTAAGAAGTACTCTGCAGTCTTGTATAGAATCATTGTTAGCCTTTGTGATAGTAAATGATTATTGTGATTATCTTTTCCTTCCCCCAAAGGCTTCTGTTTTTATGGTATAAATTAATTTGCATTTGATAGGTTGATTCACCTGTCAGTTTGGCTGGTAGTCATCAAAGAGGCAGTCTAGAAGGCTGCTGTCCAGAAGAAAACAAAAGTGATGACAGGGAGAAGTCTGATGGCAAGGAAGTAAGAACGGATCGGCAAACCACGGAGGAGAATACTACCTTTCTTCAGAAGTGTATACTGAATCCTAGTGAGCTGTCAGGTGTGGGAATGACTAACGCTTTCTTGTGTCCTGGCTAGACCAAATACCACGTTTGCATAAAATTCTGTAGGTGGAGGGAAAAGAGGATGCAAATCGGTAAAATTCTAGAAGCAAAGGAGGCATCAAAATTCGTACCTTCACTTCTCTTCACTATTTTGCATCCATCTTTGAAAGAAGCTTGTTATTACTGCCATTACCTCTACAGCACGTGTCTTGTGGCATCTAAGCTGTGACCTGCAATTTGGGAATGGCCTGAAAGGTCAGGAGAAAGCATCTACATGTATTCCATGGAACTGTGTTAGAAAGCTTTTTCAATAAGATGTTTATATCAAACTTTTCACAGAGATCATGGCCGTTTGTTTGAAACTTGGTATCCTAGTAATGGTCCATCTGTCCAAAAAAGTGGAAATTACAGTTGTAAGTTACCGTATTTAACAACTGAACAATGCTAATTCTAATAACGTACTTTAAATACAAATACACGATACCTCCTTTTAATGAAAGCACTTGTAGAAGTGCTTCAAATGGCATTATTTTTGCATTCTATAAATAGTAATAAATCAACTTGCTAGAGCTTCTGACTCTTTAAAAATAGAGAAGCAAAGGCCAGTATGTGAAGCAGAAAACATGGATACCTTCTTCAAACTTAGGTAAGATTTCATGACAGAGCTGGGATCAGAAGAAATCCTTTGATTCCTGCTCCCGTGCTTACCATGAGTCCTGGTACAGAAGTACATATCATTTTTTTAAACAGTAATCCACTGCAGCGGCTCTGTGGTGTTCCTTAACTGACAAAACCCTGTTTTGGTCTCTTAATTGCTAAAATTTCAAACAGTATCTTTAAAAGTTTTTCACATCTATTTTACTCTGAAAGGCTTTCTCTTGTGTTTTTCAGGATGTATGTCTAATTCAGATTCTGGAGAAGACAGCATGGAAACACAGACTTGGAAATTAAGTGAACCTTCCCAAGAAAAACTAAGTAATGCAACAACAGGTATTACTTCCCAGGTGTATAAAGTGAACGGTGCAATGACTTTTTTTCCCCCTCCTTTGCTTGTTAATGCTTTGAGGAGAGTTTGGGACCACAGTGTATTTGTGTGTATATTATATAGTTACAAAGAAATATTGCAACTTGGAAATATATAGGCTTTGTGAATATTCAAGAGGTGTTGGATGAATTCTTCATTTAAAGATTATTTTGTTAAAGGATATTCGTGTTCTGTAATAATATGATAGCATTTGAGTTTTACACAGTCTCGTAAGGCAGAATCCAGTGGTGATTCTGCCCAGTGCAGCAGTGCTGGTCATCTAACGTAACACTCAGTTCTTGAGAAATTTGAGAGACCTCAACTTCAAAGCTTCACTCAAATCCATCTGCTGGGTTCAGGCCAGTTGAAATAAGTGCCCTTTTTTGATCTTCTGTCCTTGGGGCTTCCCTGAAGTTCAGTTAGATTTTTATAGCTCTCCCCTTGTTGTATCACTCATCTCTTGTTATAATGTAAAGTAGACCAATGCATCACAGTAAACGCTTGGGATCAATGGGTGTGTAAAGCATTTGTCACCACAAGATTAGAAAATGAAAAACTATTACGGAACTCCAAAACTTGGAAGTCTGTGGGATAGGGACAATGTTACAAGTGTTTCCTCTACTCTTGCTGTGGAAACCAAGTTTGTCCAGAAAAGAATGTAGAGCATGAGGGTGCTGTAGGAAGGGGAAAAGCTAAAAGTGACCAGAAATTGTAATCTGCATGTTAAGGAAAAAAACAGACAATACTGAAATCTATTTTAATTAAATAATGGTAGTTTCTATAATGTTTCAACATTTGTGTTTTGCAAACTAAAATTTTTCTAGAACCAATAGCTGGTTTGGCTGAGACAAAAGTCAAGACTGAAACTTCTATAATATTTACAAGTAGAGATATTACAGAGTTTCTCTTTACCCCAGAATTATTCATTTTCATGAATGACATTTCAACGTGTATACTGCTAGTCAGGCTGAAGAAATTATTTTTTATTTTTAAGCTTATTTTGTCTGTGATTTTGGTTAATACTGTGGAGATGTCACTCTTCCATTATAGTTTTGAATTGAATCGCTTGCCCAAAATGGGGGGGCTTTTCCTCCCCCATATCCCCATATCCAACTGCTACAGCTCAGTTTGAATCAGCATTCTGTTACATAGACTTCTGTATTTTTCCCTGCTACAAACAGGTTTAGAAATGAACATGATACATGCTTGAGAATAACTGTACTTGCCTATGGTTGTTATCACATTACTTGTACTGCTTTTTAGTGTGGGTTTTGGTTTTTTTGTTTGTTTGTTAGTTTTTAAGTTGAAATGCTTCCAGCTAACATGAGTTTTAAATATATTCTACAGCAAACTCTTCCAATGTGGAATGTTCTGAAGAAACAGATGTAGATCCTCAGATTCAAGCAGCTATAAAGGAAATGAATAAACTTGACACAATACTGGCAAAAAAACGTGTTAAGGAGAGAGCAATTAAAAAACAAGGCGAAGAAATGAGGGCAAAGCTCTGGAAAGAACTTCAGGTTAGAATTGTTCTGCTTATTTTGTAAATAGTGTGTCTTAGAGTACTGTCTTACAGAGTTATCATATACAGACACATTGTGTTATTAAAGAACTCACAGTTGGCTGATTAAAGTGAAGAAATGCATCTTAAAAAGCAACTCTGAATAAGTTTTAGTTTAGAAAGAAGGCCGTGGTCCTTAGAAATTAACATTAGAAATTGGAGATGCCCCCTAAAGAAGGCATAAGAATGCTACGGCACAAATTCCTTCACATTATATCCCGGTCTCTAGCAGTTAAATGCCACTTTAAGCCTTGAAACATGAGAGTTAGCATTTCCTCTGAGGTTAAGTACTGTATACTTTACATGAATACAAATCTCAGTTGCTAAAAAGACATGACTGAAGTTCATTTAACTGCATCTCATAACTACAATGGTTTTGGCTTCAGAGACAAATGTACATTACAGAACTTCTTTGTCTCTGAAATGTGTCGCCATGTAAGTGACAATACCTAAGAGAAGCTTTAAAGTTCCACCATGCCTTTATCATAACTTGAGGAGATGTTCAGATAGCCTCAGGAAGAAATAAAGTGGTAAGTAAATGTTGCCACTGAACAAGGAGTGTTTAATAGGGTGAAGTTCATTAGACTTGATAAGCAGACCATGTGTTTTGCTTTGAAGTATTTACTTTAAAATAAATATATGCATGTATCTCTATATTTATGCTTTATTTCTTTTGAATAGTCTATCAGAAGCACTGGAAGCCATGAGGAGATAGAAAACACAAAACATTTTTTAGCTTTGATCTCGCGGCAAGATACAGCGGGTGAGTAAGAAAGAGAAGTAAATACCCTGACATAATTGTCCTGTATTTTGGTTAATGTTGATACTTTTGTTGGATGCTTTGAAAAGAATGCTTTCAAACCTTTAGAGTAAAATAATATTTGCATTTAAATTATATCATGGGAATATTTGAAAAATTAACTGAAATAATATTTGCAATATCACAAATGTAGAAGTTGTACCGTAACACTAATTTCATTTATAGAAACTGCATTTTTTCAAAGAACTGGCTACTCCCAGGAGGGTAGAAATCCAGGATAAATAAAACTTGCATTTTTCAAGTTGATGGCAAACACAGATGATTTCAGAAAGGATGCACAGCTGATAACACTGGTAAATTAAAGTAATGATAGCCGGTGTAGGGAGAGTGCAGAGTGGAAACCTGCTGAAAAACTTGGGTGTCTTTACTGTTTGGGACATCTGGGCAATAAGGAATTCATAATTGTTTTGGTAAACAAACAAAATGTTTGATAATATTACTGATGTGTGGTTGCTGGTGGTCTTGCAGAGTTCACCAGGCTGGAGTATTTGGTGTAGGAAGTGCAGGCAGGTAAAAAATAGTGGGCCTAAAAATGTTAGTGAGAAGTTCAAGGGGTGTGGGTCCTGCTACACATGTATCTTGGAGAAAATTTTCATGTGGAAGTGGGGGAGAGTGAGAAGGAAGTGATGGCAATGATCTCATAATATGACAGGTTTAGATGGAGGGAAATCCTGAGCCTTTTTAGGAGTCATTCACGGAAGAATGAAAAGAATGGGACCACATTATGATACTAACTGCTGAGTTATGTGTTGGAAAACAATACAGGAAGTTGTGTGCACAGCACAGATCTTGGAACGTGGTCCAAAAGGGAGTAGGGGTAACTTAAATTTAATACTGATTATGTTACATTTAATTGCCTTCTAAAAGAATTTAGGATTCTTAATGTGAAGGAGAATTTGAGTAAAAGGGATCATCAAATAACATAGAGGGTGGTTCTAAGGAAAAGGTGTGAAACACGACTTAAGTTTTTTTAATTCGCTTTTTTCCTGAGAATTCTAGGGAAGAAAACAGGATAGATGGCAGTTTCAAAAAGTGAAACTGTGTTAAAAACATGCTAGCAGACTGTTCTCAGGAAGAAAAGACCAGGAAGTCTGATAATTTCTGACTTTCGTCATGGTATGACAATGAAGACAAAAATACTCAAAGTGGAAATTAACACACTGTTAAGAATAAATGTTTGCAGTTTCATCTTTCAGTAAAAATCACTTTCATCTTAAGCAGCATTTAAAGCACCAAATTCTATAGCTTAATTAAAAGTAGATAAATGACTAATGAAGGACTGAGTTCTTTAACAGGAAAGCTAAAGGAATGGTTAATGATATAGAAATATGTGGAATGTGACATATAACAAAAAAATTACAGTGAATACCAATAATGTAAAACTATAGGTAGAATAGAGAAAGAAAAGGTAAAAATCTATTTAGAAATTTTTTCTTTACTAAGTCAGAAGGACATGTGGAGCACCTGAAGAATACCACAAAGGAATTCCAGCCAATTAGTCAGTTTAAGTGGGTGCCCAAATTAAATGCCTCTACGCAAGCACATGTAGCATGGGGAATAAACAAGAGGAGTTAGATGTGCGCACGCCTGCAGGGCTACGATCTTATTGGCATCACAGAGATGTGGTGGGATGGCTCCTACGGCTGGAGCATTGGATTGGAAGGACAGGCAGGGAAGGCGAGGAGGGAGTGTTGCCCTCTATGTCAATGACCAGCTGGACTGCATGGAACTCTGCCTGGGTATGGATTAGGAACCGACCAAGAGCTTATAGGTCAGAATAAAAGGGAGGGCAGGGACAAGTGACATTATACTGGAAGCCTGCTGCAGACCACCCGACCAGGAAGATGGAGCAGATGAAACCCTCTATAGACAGATGGGAGCAGCCTGTCACACACCCTGGTCCTCATGGGGGACTTCAATCATGCCAATATCTGTTGGAGGGACAGCACATCAGGGCATAAGCAAGCCAGGAAGTTCCTGGAATGTGTTGATAATGTCCTTCTCTGGGTGATAGAGGAGCCAGTGATGAGAGGTGCCATGCCGGACCTTGTTCTCACCAACAAGGAGAGGATGGTGGAGAATGGGAAGCTCAAGGGCAGCCTTGGCTGCAGCGACCATGAAATGGTGGAGTTCGAGATCCTTAGGGCAGCGAGAAGAGTGCACAGCAAGCTTGCTACCTTGGACTTCAGGAGAGCAGAATTTAACCCCTTTGGGGAACTATTCGGTGGAGTGCCATGGCATTCTCCCCCTCTACTCCACTCCTGTGAGACCTCACTTGGAGTACTGTAACCACCTCTGGGGCCCTCAGCACAGGAAGGGCATGGACCTATTGAAACCAGTCGGGGGGAAGGTCACAAAGATGATCAGAGGACTGGAGCACCTCTGCTATGGGGACAGACTGGGAGAGTTGGGCTTGTTCAGCCTGGAGAAGAGAAGGCTCCGGGGAGACCTTATAGCACCTTCCAGTACCTGAAGGGGCTACCAGGAAGCTGGGAGGGGACTTTTTACAAGGGCCTGTAGGGACAGGAGAAGGGGCAATGGCTTTAAACTGAAAGTAGGTAGGTTTAGATTGGACATCAGGAAGAAGTTCCTCACTGTGAGTGCAGTGAGGCACTGCAACAGGTTGCCCAGCAAAGCTGTGGATGCCCCCTCCCTGGAAATGTTCAAGGCCAGGCTGGATGAGGCTGTGGGGTAGGAATTAGATGGTCTTTAAGGTCCCTTCCAACGCAAACCATTCTATGATTCTATGACACAAATCGGTTTGAGTTCTAAAGCAAGTATTGGTAGTCTTCTTCAAGAATGCATAGAGGACATGCATGCTTGCAGAGACCTGGAAAAAGAAAGTACTGGGTACTTTAAAATGTCCTTTTTCTTTCTGTGGCTAGGATTTTACTTGGGGAGACACTTGAACAAACTAGGCATTCTGCTCACAATCTTTTTTGGAGGGACATTGTAATCAAAACGAGACTGAACGTAGCAAGAATATAGCATGTCAAAACTGTTCAAGAGTGGTTTAAAAAAATCTGCTGTTTGAAAACTTTGTCTTGTTGCTGGAGTTCTCAGAGATGTGTCAATCACATGCACGTTTTCCATCCTGTCCTTCATCTACATACCCTGGTTGAAAGGAAACAGAATTGTGGCACATCTTGTCTTTTTTCTTGTTGGGGAAAGAACAAGGATTTGAGGTCTGAATAGTTACTGCTGAGCAAAAATCTCAGGTTAAATGTTGGAAGTACATGCATAATAACAGTAGCAATGTGTGGGTAAAACATTTCAACAGAACTTATTGTTACAATTATTACTGCCTTATTTCTACAGTAAAGTTTAGGTTATTAAGGGAAGAACACAAAATCTGATATGGGTGATACATAAAAAGTCTCCAGTAGATGTCAGGATATAGTAAAAAAAGACCAGTAGGCAAGCAAGACTATATGGTTGTTAATTAACTACATGTTTCAATTCCTCTTTTATTTCAAAGGTAACTCCTTGATGTAGAGATTATGTGCATTGTGTAGGTTCCGGTGTACCATACTGGAAAAACTCTGCATGGTTTAGATTTATATTTTTCCTCCAGTTTGATCTTTATCTTGAATTTTTGGTGACATGCTAGTGCCTTACTTTTCAAGTCTTATTTAAATGAGTGCCCTGATTGATACTGAGATGGAATGCAATTCATATATTTTGCTTTTCAGAACTTCAATTTTATAAAAGGCTTTATTAAATACATTATATAGGGGAGATTTTTGATTATAGCTTTTAGTGTGGCTGTGAAATCAAACACAGGTGCTGGGTGCAAAATCATTAATAACTTATGTGTCCCAGCCTCTCAGGCACAAAACCCCCTCTGACACATTCATGGCAGAAATGTAAATTAAGAGGTAATTAAGCAGCCTTAAACTCATTCCCGTGTGCAACAAAATCATACTTCCAGTTGAGTCCATTAAACTTCACTATTGCAGAATGTTGGTTGTTTTTTTCATTGTGAAAAACACATTTTCCATAAGTTTATACTATGGTTCTTTGCAATACAAGTTCTTTTCTCTAAGTGCTAAGTGTATAGACTGCAAGTTAATGCTCTACCTTATACTTCCAGCTGATATATGTCAATGCCGCAACTGAAGTTTTTTCTTTGAGTAACTGAAACAACTCTTGCATGATAGGATGTTTGAACACTTTTTTTCAAGACTATGCCCTTGACCTAGGTCACCTGGAAGTCTAATAATTCATGTACAGGCAGACAACAGCTATGAAAACCTGGGTACTTTATTTTCATTCAAAGTTCTAGATGACTTGCCACATGGTGTCTGTGGAGGCTTTTGAACTTTAGGGCCTTGGGATGTATTAATTATTTGTCCTATATGGGCAGTAGTTGTTCAAAGCGAAAACGCAGCCATATGAAAAACATAAATAGTCATGAGACACACCTTCCACTTTTCCCCCTTCGTTATTTCTTGAGGAATGTGGTGGTTATATAATTTATCCAAGTAAATTTCTGTAACTTTCATGTGTGAGATGTTACAGTATGGTACACATGAAACTGCATCTTCTTCAAATACATTTCAATTAAATTTTACTGAAAAAATTCCTTGCAGATCCCTCCCATGCTAAAGAAGATGAAATATGTACCTTGGTCTTTCACACACAAATTAATCCAGAAGATTATGATTGCCATAACACCCAGCATAATCAGGGTAAGCTTTATTAATTGTATAGTTTGTATTTCTAGATAATGGCAAAACAACATATACAGTGGCTGGGTAATGAAGACTTGACCTTTGTGGCTAAACCAGTGAAATCAGAAAAAGCAAGATTACTTAGTGGAATGGCGACAGTTATTATTTTTTTACAAATTATGAAAGAGAATAATTTTGTTTGTGACTTATCTAAAACATTTTACTCATCATGCTAAGAAAATTTTTACTTTCAGGTTTATAAAACTGTATTTCATTGCAAAATGATGAGGTGTGTAACTGATTTATTGTAAAATGTATCTGGTTCTTCATGGAAATTCTTTAAAAACTTATCTTTGCTGTTATTCTAAGGTACTGTAACTGTCATATATAGGCTTGTATTGAAGAAACCCATCTAAAAATTAAGAGTGGTGCTGTATACAGTTTAAGCTGTTCTGTAAGTTTGTTGTTTTCAGAAGAAATTGTATGGATGTTTTGACAAACCTAAATCTTCAGACAACTCATTTTGGATTTTGTTATGCTGATTATCGTTAAAGGGTGCATTGCTTTTATGGGTTAAGTACTTTCTGGCAAAAATCAAACATCTGTGCTGATTCTTTTAGACATCACTTGTTTACGTGCACTGTATAGAGGTTTCGAATGCTGGTAGTAGTTTAGTATGTCCAACACTTCAAAATGAATAGAATTGTGCTTTTGTGCCTGTGTTTTTTCCCTATTTGAAATTCAAATTTGTATGGTTGAGTAACTTCTCACATGTGTTGTGACATAAGAAGAATAGCTTCAGCTGCCATTGCTATCAGCTGCAATTATTTATTTCGGTGTTGTCTACCATTCGATGTAAACAGAAGGAATCTATCTTCCTGGTGACTGGTTAAGATGACAAGGACATAATAAATGGGTGTTCCTCACGGTTGAGCCACTGGTGGCGGCAGAATCTCTGCACTTTTTAGAATGTGACTGCATGTTTTAATTTTTAAACCTGGACCTCAGCTCCCTTATCATTTTATCTTGTATTCAGGCCAGCAATGTGTGACCTTAATTATTTCTTCTCACTGAGTTGGAGCAGTGCTGTGCTTTTGATTTCTTTGTCTTCCTACCATGTGTCTTCATTCCTCCCTTAAAATGACTCTTGACTCTCAGCTTCCACCTTCACGATTTCTGCAATGTGCTGGAGTGTCCTTGAATAGCAATGGCAGGTTTCATTACCTCTGTTCAGGACAGGAATGACTTCTGAAGCTCCCAGTACAGGCACGGTTGGGAGTTGCTGTTGCTTGCACTATTTTGAGATGTTCTACGTTCTCCTAGTTTGGAAAAGCATGCAGTGGAGATCACTTACAACTTCCTTAAATGACTTTTACTATTTCTGCTGGAGGCTTTTGATATGGTTTCTGAATAGCTAAGACTTACTGGTTTGGTTGCTTTTAGATTCCCGTGTAACAGTTGTTTTAAAGGCAGACCCTGAACAAGAGTAGCTTAACTTGTGAAGAGGAATGTCTGTATTATTTTTATAGTATTACTTTAGCAGTCTCATCAAGATTTGTACATCAGTGAAATTTGGACCAAATCTACCAAAACTCGATGCAAAATTTGTTCAGCTGCAGTCTCTTTTTTCCTTACCCACGGCAATCTTCTGTGTATTCTTTGTCCCGGTGATCATGTCTGTCTCTTCTTTACTTGAACGTTCAGAGATCTTCTGGATGAAAGCTCCCTCTCAAAAACGCTTATTCTGCTGTTACAGAAAGATGTAGCTTAAAAGTAATGTTTTATATATGTTGCATGTTATGTTGGTGTGTTTTGCTCATTTCAGGATACAACTTACCATGTTCAAATGAATTGGTAAATTCTTATATGATCCACTTCCTTTATAGTTTCAAGATGTCACCTTGAAACACTAAAGACAGTTTGGGATGCTTTCAGTAAACAGTTGTGCATTTGTACTGTGACAGGGTTTTCTTGGTCAGATCCAGCACCTCAGTCCTTTAAGGTTTACTTGCAATTTGAGAGTAAGTCTGATTGGTGAGAATGTTGCACAGTTTTTTGTCCATATTGTGTAAAAGGATGCATGGAGTTTATTTAATATCTTTGGGAGTTTGCTTTCAATCTACTCACTCTGAAAAAGTGCTAATTCCATATAAATTTCCATAGCCTATCTTCTGTTATCTGGCATGTTAAACTGGGTTTTTTTGGTAGGCAAATAGCCCTCCCATTTTTCAAATCCCTGCTTTCCAGAAAAGCAAAAAGTACCATGCCTACTTGTGAAGTAGTTTTTGAGGCTTAGAATTTGGCTGTACTTGCTTAGTCTTGTTATTTAATGTGATAAATATTTGCTGTTCGTAAAGGAATTGCAGTTTTCAAGCTGGTAAAGTCTCTGAGAAACAGAATACGTGCCCATTTTTGTATAATGGGTAGAAACCCATTGTTGAAAAAAAACATGTGTGATGTTGTCAGAATATCGTGTGGCTGCTTAACAGCTTTACAGCTCTGAGTTTTATTTTTGAACAAAGTTTGTTTTATAAGCTGTGTTATAATAATATCAGCTATATCATCTGTTCTTCAGCTGTTTTATTTTAAAAAATGTACTTGATATGTCTCCAAATAGTTCTGTGGTTTTAAAAAAAAAAAATTATTGTCTGCTTTTGTACTGATGATAAAAGTGAAACAATGATAGGGTTTGAAGGAATGCCATGCCTTTTGAAGCTGCCATGTTTAACATTTTTGAGGTCAGAAATCCAAAAGTATTGTAGCCTTCGCAACACTGAATGATCTCGTATAATAAAAGCTTAAAAATGAGATTAGATTTTGACAATAGTTACAGTTTAAATATACCAATATAGTTTATATAAATAATGAAAACAGCATATAAAAAGTTTGCACATCCACTTTACATGTTTGTTAAAGGTTTAAATGGGATTGCTGTTATTACGACTCTCATTGAATCAGAAAAAGAATGATCATAACTTAGCAACTTTTCTTCCTCAAACTTCAGATTATCCGAGTGACTTAGAAACAAATGAGTTTCTTAATCAAGCAGAAAAAAAGCATAGCAAAAGTAAAACCAATCAGGATTTCATTAAAAAGAACATTGAGGTAAGCATTAAGGCATAAAATCATTAATATTTTGTTAAATGTTAACTAAAATATACTATATAAATACTTCTGGAGACTGGGTTTTTTATCAGGAACATTAAAAGTTAATTAGGCATAAATGAGAAAAATCTTGCTGTTTAAAAGTGTTGTTTATGGCAGAGTACTGTATAAGATAGTTCTCATTTTGGATGCTCATCTTGGTGGGGATAATACTGCTTCTATGTGTTTGCTAAAGAGTACTGAAAATGGAATCGTTCTGTTTGTGCCTGGACATAGCTTGTTTTGAGGGCAAATATTTCCTAAGACTTTCTTTAAATGTATTTACTGTTAAGTTAAAGGAAGATGTTCTTATGCATAGAAAATAAAAGGTATGCAGGTTTTCCATGTATAGCCTGAATGGGAATCTTACTTACGGACGACTTATTTTCTGTTAGAAAATAAATGCCTTGATTTTAATGCTGCTTTTTTTTTTCAGTGAAGACCTAGTAGCTATAACAATTTTACATGCAATTGAAAATATCCACTCCCCTGCTATGTCAAAGACTATTATAAGATTATCAATTCAGTATATGTAGGCTGCTAGATTTTTCTGTCAATGTGATAATTTCTATTCTGGCACTAAGCAAGATTTGGATGTTAATTTGACAGAGTTTAAAAACTTTTGTTTGGTGCTGTTTGAGCTAATGGAGTTCTAAAGCTTTTTTGTTATGTCTTTTTGTAAATATTTCAGCTAGCAAAGGATTCAGGAAACCAGATTGTTATGCTTGAAGGAGAAAGGAAAAGGCTAATTGAACTGTTGAAAGATATAGAAGAAGGAATTGAATTGCCAGGTCTTGAGGTATGGCAACTTTAATTTGTACCATCCTGTTGTATTTGGCTTATTTTTGCGGTAAATCTAAATTTGATTTGGTTTTAGTTCTACCATGAAGCAACCTACTGAGATACGAGAGAAAAGCTGGACAAAGTCAATTGCCTTTGTCTCCAAGAATGAATTTTCATTGGCTTCTTTGTTCATTTTATTAACACATGGACATGCCTGGCCTTAGAAAAACAGCAGAACTTAAAAGAAAAGTTAGGCGCGGGTTGAAGGAGCCTTAGAAACACACTCAGAGAAGACGATGACCTATTTTCTCTGCATAAATATGAAATTTCAGCCTATTAATCCAGTGCTGTAGTCTTTGGTAGCAGGTCCAGCAACTACAAATGAAACTCTAGGAGTTTTTTGAGGACATGAACTTCAGAATGCAGCAATTGGGGAAATACACATTGATGAAGCTTATGTGTCCATTTAGAAAGATACCATGGCATCTTTGTGTGTCTTCCAACTCAGTCTTAAAAGTATGCAGAGGAGCCAAGGCTACTGAAGTATTAGACATTTATGCTTTAATGGAATACTGTTAAGGAGCGTACCGTCTGCGTACTGCAGTGGGTAGCAAGAGCTGAAGCAGACAGAAATACCTTTCCTCATGGAGAGTAAAAAATTGTTTAATTATGCCACCAACCACTGCTTCTAGGAGAGTCTGTGCCACAAAATGATTCCAAGTAATGTAAAGAAATCAAATAGTCTTTTGATCTCCCAGTTCCTAGGCCTTTCTTTCTTACTGCTTTGAGGGGAATATCACTGTGAAGGAGCTCTCAGGGACTCTGTTGTTTTACAGGAGTACTCATAAGCCTGCTAGGATGGGAAGATAAAATTTGGTCTGAAAAATGAATCTTACTAGGAACTTACAGTACTTTTCGACTATATATGGTATAAAACATGCTAAAGATGGGTGTTTTCATAGAATGAACATCCTCAAACTATGTAAACTTGGTAAAACTCTTCAAGAAACCAGCATTTTAATAAATAAGAAGAAATATTGCAAGAATGTTTGCTTTGTGTAAAGAAATTAGGTGACCTTTCTATTTTGTTTTATATTAAAATGTTCATTAAGTCTATAGTAATGTTATGAACTTTTTCACAACATTTGTTAAATATACACTGAATCACAGTAGCAAAGAAATATGTGAACTCTGTGTAAAATTAACAAAATATATTCAATGTCCCTTTTCTGTTTAACTTATACATCTAAAATGATCTGGACTAAATAATTTTTCACTATGTAAAATAACAACTTAGGTGTGGGAGAGAGAAACAAAAGCAAATGCAATGTCATTTTTTCTTTGTCTCTTCCCATATTTTCTTTTGAGTTATTTTCTAATAAGGTGGTGAAGACACCCAAGATGTCATGCTCTTTATTACTCTTCCCTAAAATGTGTCTAAAACCATCCTCAGAAATTACTGTTTTAGGATATGGGGTAAGGAGGTGAGCTTAGGATTTTGTCATGTGAATCCAACTTGGTTATAGAAACAGAGAACTAACCTACTCATGGTTTGTGACATGTAACAAATCTGTAACTTACTCAACTTCAGTGTGATTTCTAGGTTGAAGCTCGTTTGGTCTGTGGACCAAAACTTTTCTCTTTGCTCTAGGGAAACTGGTAAATATACACTATGTTTTGGCATTTTCAGAACTTTGTGGGACACATAGAAGTTGAAGGAGTCTGTATCAATCAGGAAAACCTGATGGACAAATGACTAAGATTATATAAATATGCAGTATTTTAACATTAACTGCTGTTTCACGATTAGTAAGCTGAAGTAGAAGCACAGAAAACGTAGCCTTTATTGATCATTGGTATGCAAAGTTTTAAAACTATCGTCAGCTACACTCAGTGCTTGTGTTCGTGAGGTGAAAAGCTGACTTCGTTAAATTGCACCAGTCTTCCTGTTGACCTGACGTTTGTTCCCTCACTTTACATAGAGAACTTATTTATTTTTTTGGACATGAACACTGATCTTGCAGGTTGACTTATGTATCTGTGTAAAACACTCACCAGTTAATGACCTTGCGCGGAGACGTTTGACTTGACATAGTTTAGCATTAAAAAAGTGCGGTGAACGGCTCTTTGGTCTAATATTGATCTACTGATCAGGGGAGTTGATTTTTATTGTGCTTTTAATTTGTTGCGTATTAGAAGGACCAAGATAAAGCTCACTGGGTCATTATTTATTTAATCTTTTGTCCGTGCATTTAGGAAAAGATTCAAGGTATTCTATTAGATCTGCTTGCAACAGGATTGGCATGATGTCACATGTAAGCGTGACAATGTTTAGCTGAAACAGTACTTCATCCAGCCTTTGAATAGGAAGGAACTGTAGGGAGAGGGTTGTGGGGTTTTTGGTTTTTTTTTTTGTTTTTCTTCTCTCGTGGGAAAGGTTGGTGTTTGATTAGCAATACTTTTTTTTCTATTCTTGCCTGATTGAGGACATGTTTCAATTTGAGGAGATAGTCCTTCATTTGATAAATGTCAGCATTTTAAAGACGTGAAGATGTTTTAAACAACCTTTTGTTAGTAAACATAGCTTTTTGACGTAGAGAATAGTGGCTTTCTTTTATAATGTATCATTTTACTGGTTGCAAGTCTTCTCTCACAAGATGTATTTATTGTGTTTCTTCTTCTTTAAGCTAGGGTCCTTCACAAAATTTAGAGATGGAATAGCTAATGCAAATTCTGGCTAGCTGTGTGTACCTTTTTTTGCACCAATTCTCAAGGCATCAAGGCAATGGGAAAGTATAACATTTATCCGAATTTTGTATTTGGCATGTGTCTCCATCATGTCAGCATGTATCTATAGAGGTTTTACTATTTATGTCAGACCTTAAATAGATCACTACACCGGACAGTGTGTGTCTCAGTATGTTCTTGGTACAATAGACAAGGATGGGAATGATAATTTGTGGGTCAGTCTAGTCTGTACTAGATCATGTCTTTAAAGAAAACAGCTCCTAAATCTACTGCCAAACTAGAATAAAAGAAAGGATAATACTTAGTTACTTAAACCTGTCTAGTCTGGGGATAGATTCTTCCTCTCCCACATTTGAATTATATTATGGGTGAGGCATTTCCTGTGGCTGCTTTATAACAAAGATCATGAGGAGATTATCAGCTAATGAGTAATCTAGACTGCTTCAAGATGGCCCAGGTAGCTGTCCAGCTGATGGCCACTTTCACCTTACTTAATTTGGACTTGTAAAAAGCTGGTGCAACCACATTGGCTAAAGCAGTGTTTTGGAGGTTATCAATCAAGGCAGAGCTGGCTGTGCTGTATGAATTCCTCTGTACAGTGTAATGTGGATTAGATAACTTCATTTGACTTGTACTATTAAATATGTCAAATATTGAAATAGCACATCTCACTTTCTTAAAAATTAAATTCTTAAATATTTTAGGAGTACATATTCATACTAATTTAATTGTCAAAGCTGCAGGGGTATAATTTGTTTCAGATGTTCCACACTAATAAGCACTGACTGTGCTGTTGTAAAAGTATTGTTCTGAGTTAACACAGAGGAAACATTGACAGGACAGAAGCTTATTTTCCAAGCAAAGTCATCTTGAAAATACAAAAGGGAATGTGCAAGTCCATTTAACCCTGGAGAGAAGTGACTACTGGAGTAATTTGGGTATTTGGAGCATGGGATATGAGAGCATGGGATATAGACACTGAGCTGTAGCTAATGAGCCCAGGTGCAGCTTAACTGACTCCTGTAGAGTCATTTCTAGGTGTTTGCACTGTGGGCTTCAATGTCTGATTAGGGGGTGGTTAACATGGCACAAGTGTAAGTGCCACATTGGATACTGATGATGATGGTGACTGTCTCACCTGAACAGATGCTCCACAACGCTGGCAAGCATATAGAGACATTTCTGAGTGGCTCTTCTGCATGTAGGTTATGTCTGGTCAGGCTTACTAGTGACATTGTACTTGTATGAGAAAACATTAAAAGAACTGATTCTGTTTCACAAAAGAGATTACTCTTTTTTTTTTTTTAATTTAGCATGGAAGTAATTTATGGCAGGTGTTCGGGGTATGCTTTTTTCTTTTTGCAACCAGTGTGCTTTAGGGTAGTGGGGGTGAACCACGGATGACCTCATAGCAGTGGTATTGTAACTGGAAGCTGATATTTCCTCCTCTTGTGTGGATGTGGCTGCTTGAATAGCCGGAGGACTGATCTGGAAGCTGTAAAGGAGTGATGGATGTGAATCCCTTGCAAGACAGATGTTGAAGTATGGTCAGGTCAGATAGTAAGGTGCTGTCCCTCTCCTGTTAGGAAAAAGAAAGGAAACCAGCAACATACTCATGTCCTCCCTCACATTATTGCCCTTCCCTTCTAAGGTCCTATCTTTGTGGTCAGGACAGAGATGTAATCTCTTAGTGTCACTTGCAGTGAATGGTGGTTGTGCAGATTTGCTTCCCTCAGTGTGAGCCAGGAGTCCCAGGTTGCTGTGGAGAACCTGCCTCGGTTTTTGAATATGAGCTCATTTGATTAAGTGGGCCAAGCTCACTCATAAAATGCAACTGTCTGTACTAGGAGCACATTCGTATTGGTTAGTCAGGTGTTACTGATGTAAAAAGGAAAAAGTAATGTAAATCATGATCAGAAAAAGAACTATGTGCTTTCTGTCTCTCCCAGTGTTTCTGTATTAACATACTGAGGCGGCAGCTACTCACCTCAGAGATGTTCCTCAGCTTTCCCATAGCTGCCTTGTTTTCTTCTTTGGTCATATACTGCAGGTGTCACATTATGTCTCATACCCTCATTTTGAGATTTAGCTCCAGGTGGTTTCTGCCATAGTATCAACCTCTGCAGTTTCATTCCAAGACTGGTTTTGGTCAGGCTTTCTCTCTTTTTGACTCCTTATCAGATGGAAAGGGGTTGTCCTATTAGACATTGCTGCTCATTTTATTTCCTTCTTTGACTTGCACAGCAGTCTGTTGCTTCCACTTCCTTCAGAGGACAGTAGGGAATAGTATTGTGTCCCACTTCATTTGGACTTCTGGTGTGCTGCTGTGCAGGTGTGTACCAGGATGGATGTGTGTACCAGGATAGATGTGTGTCTGCATTTGCTGCCAGACTTTGAGATGCAAATTCGTTGGAGAGTTTGACAAGGTGTGTTCAGTCTGGTTGAGAATGTCTCATTTCTGTGACTGTTGAATTCCATTTGTCTTTTTTAAAAACAAAAAATATCTTGCTGTCTCAAGTTTGCTATATGGTCAGCTCTGTGCAGCTCCTTGGACTTAAGCTGTAATATGGTGTCTCTAAGAGTTTGCAAATGAAGAATGCTAGGATGGAAGGTGTAACAGAAGTGTTTTAGGATGATGAGTAAAGTTCTAGTGCAGTTTCTGAGGCTGTGCTTTTCCTTTTCAATATTAGCATTGAAACGGTGAGCTTATAGCGTGTTCTTTATGTTTTCTGTCTTAGAACTGGTGGGTCTATGTCTGCCAGATGCTTTCCCCTGTGCAAGGTAGGGCAGAGGGTAGAGACGAAGGATCACAACACTCCTAAATTGATTTTCATGTCAGTGGCATCAGAAAGTGATGCTTACTGTGCAGCACTGGACAGCAAGACCTATGTGCAAGTTAGACCATGACAAGCAATTATTCCTTCAAAATGGAGCTGGGACTGCCGTGTTGAACAAATACAGAAACCACAACAAGGAAAGAGTTCGCCTGCATGGAAGGAAGCTGTGATAGGCATGGCATGGCACTGTATTAAAGGTTTGACTAACTTGTCTAAGAGGCTCTAAAGTGAGATGCATCATTAAGAAAAAGGGGTTAAAGATTCTCTTGGGTGTAAGACAACTTGATCTAGGAAGTTGTTTAACCTTCAGAAGAATGGATGGAATAATTCAGAACTGTCAGAGTGCTCTTTGGCCAGCTGGCATGGAGGCAAAGCATCTGGCTTTAAGCAGTTTTATTTCACAGCTTCCGAGGGGCTCATCAGTGAGGACACAGACTTTGGACTTTTATAGAAGCAGTAAAATAATAGCGGAAGAGTGTTTAGGTCAGCAACACCTTCTTTTTTGCAATACCATTTTAACAATGCATGTAGATGCATGCACTTTCTAAAAATAAATTTGTGTATTTTTTTTTTATAGTTCATTTAAGTTGCTGCTGGGTTATATTTAAAAATGAAAAATGTATGCCTCTAGTTGTGTCCATATCTGCTTTTGAATGTGCTGGGTATGTGAATATTTGGCAGATTTCAGCTCTTTAGAGATGGATGAAAACTTACTTTTATCCTTAAGTACAGTTTATTTGAAAGTGAGATACACTTGATGTGTAACTGCCTTTAAAGTCTGTTTCCTTGGAAATGAGGATTAAATATCTTCTGTATCTTTCGATAGGAGGATGTATCTGGTGGGCTGGTACCAGGAGAAGGGTACACACCTGAACCAACGGAATTTCACCGCTTAAATGAGATAGACATTAAACTTCAAGAACTTCAAGTACTACTATGTGATGGGGATTCTTCTGTGATTTCCAGCTCTTGCTCAAAATCTCCAAGCCAGATTTATCAGGTATATTACAGAACAGAGCTTATGTGGCAGACTTCTTGTTCGAAGTGTGTGTTGAGATCTGATGTAGATGAAAATACAGCATGCATCTGTATTTGTATTTTTGGCATTTTTCTTTAGTATCTTCTGTTTGTTCTCAAAGTGTATGTGCTAAAGGATTAAATGAAACCTTTGGCTATACCTATTATACAGAAATATAATACATTGCATAGAATTCAAGGACTGTCTTGTTTTAACATTTGTTGATTCTACCCTTTCAACAAGGAATTTCATATGCAGGAATTGGCGCATTAACTGTGTGAGGGCCTCAATGGTTTTGTCAGCACCAAAAGGGCCTCTTCACTTATGATCTGAAAGATAAAGCAATTACCAACAGGCAGTGATAAAGACTGTGGGAAATCGATTGAAACGGTATATTCCTTGTTTTTAATGGCCTTTGTCTTTTTTTCCCTTGCCAGCAGTAATAAGAATCTTTGGGATCTCGTCCTTGAGAAATGATTGTTTGAATTTTGTACACAGAAGGCTAATTTATCTCATGCCCCAGTAATGTTGCCCCTGATGTAATTAATGGTGGAAATACAACATAAAATACCATTAATCTTATTTTGCACTAATTTGCACAAAACTTGTTTACTTCTTTCAAATTTAAAACTTATCACCAGAACAGGTATATCAGAGGCTCTGTGAGTGTGTGCATTGGTAAAACGATGTTTTTGGTTACCAGCACATGAGAAACATCTCTGAATGGCTAAAATACCTGTGGGTTGAGGTTTTTTCCCTTTTTCTAAAGAGCATTTTAATGTCACTTTTTGTATTGACTTCTTTCTAAACTTCAGGTTTTGGTTTACCTACAGTAATATTTTCTTTTGCTCTGACCGTTCAAGAGGAGTCACATTTTGATGTTGATCATTTACCAGTTGGGATGTAATGTGTGAAACGGCGACTCCCTCTAGTGGGTAATCACTTAGAGAAATGCAGTTGTTACCCGGTACCTTCAGGTTCAAGCTAGTGCGACTGCCTGGTAATCAACACTCTGTTTAGGAACGTTTGTCTAAGTGGTGGTTGTTGCTTCCTTTTCAGATAAAGCTCGGAAGTATTTGAATAGAAACTTGTATTTATGTGTATGCTTATTGAAAAGTAATACATTATCTTTTTGAATCAAATTTAACAACCAAAGAGAGTTAGTAATTCCATAAATTACCCTTCATTAGTGAAAAGCAGTTGCGTTTCAGCTTCGCTTTGCAGCATATAAAAGGCTTTCAGACACTGAAGTTCTGGGAAACACTTTATGTATTCCATTTGTCATTTTTTGTTTTGTTCAGATAAATTTGAATATGTGAGTCATTTTAATAAAAGCTACTGAGGAATACGACTATTTAAAGGTGGTTTTATAAATTTAGAGAAAGAGTTAAACAGGATAAATATAAATTGAAATGAGTGGGAGTCTTCAGTTATTTAAAACTGGATTTAGAAAGACACTAGTTGCATAAATGCAAAACTAAAAAAAAAAAAACCAAACCAAAAAACAACCCAAACAAAAAATCCCCAACCAAATGAAGCAAACAACAAAAGCAAACCCTCCCACCCTATCTAATTCCAGAAGTATCTTGATTTCCAGTTGCCTTCCCGGTTGATTCCAAAATCCC